TTCGATCAATCAGTGAACAGTAGAAAGAATTCCATGGGCACAGGTGAAAGAACAAGATCTGGCACTGGGGAAAGAAGCCCCGGGGGAACAGAAATCAGTCTTACCTCCACATCGCGGGTGCCCCGCTTTAGTAATAGCATAGCACCTTCTGGCAGCAACTATAACTGTGTTAAAAACCCAATTCCGTCCTAGTAGACAGCGGAAAAAGTCCTTGATCCACGGAATCATTCCTACTTTTACCGCTAAGTGACCCATCTTAGTAAGCATAAGCACTTTCGGCAACAGCTGCTATTGCAGTCAACCGGGCGAGCCATCTACTAAAAAAAGGAGAACTGGGACCTTTTCTTTTATAACTTTAGAGCAGTTTGACTAATCTATCTTAACCTCATACTTTATGCTTTTCCTGTCCGTCTAGAATCCTACTTCTCCTTCGGAGCCTTTTGAGCCTCTCCTTCGGAGCCTTACTCAAGCATAAGTGCAAGTAAACTACCTTCCCCTTAGTCATCAAACGGGGGAGCCGTTCTTCTTTCGTGTATTTAGCGGTGAACCAGGCGTACGCTACTTAATGTTAATGAATCTTCGGGGGGCGTTAAAGAATAGCAATAATCGCTGAATCTACTTGCTCGACTGAAAGGGGAGCGGTTTTCCGCCGTTGGTTTTTCTCTGAATCCTACTACTTTTTCCCCTCCCTTACTGCTCAGATGTGAATTCCAATTCTTATTCGTCAGAAGATTCTTGATTAACTGGATCAAGTGATTCAGCCAAGACTTCCATAGAAGACCAAAGACGCCATACTTTCTTTTTCTCTCCGAGCAGCTTTCGCTCCCGTTGATCCGATCGATCCGAACCTCACCGACTGATATTTCTCTTGTCTTGGGGATGCCCAACCTTTAGGTCGGATAGAAACAAGGGCATTTCTTTCCTCTCCCGCTGGTTAACCCTTATCCCTATTCCTATTCCTATAGTAGCTTTATTCCTTATGCCTTATGTGTAACGAAACTGGAAAAAGAATGAATTGGCCTTTCAGCCAAAAACAACGAAACGCTTTTCTGCACAAACATAGTTCACTACTTCAGAACCAAATGTGTGTCTTATCTTTTTTTCTTTCCGCGTTAGGAGGGGAGTTGATGGGAGTCGAAGAATCGTACAATCTCTTGGCTAACCTTTCCTCAGTCTCAGCTACTGGAATACTAGATCCATCCCCAGACGGCACAAGTCTATAGAGAAAGCTTTATTCCACGACTTGGAGATTGCATGTTGGGGCGTCTTAGCAAGCCTTATAAAAGTGGCACAAGTGCTCATAGAATGACTTTGCCTGTCTGAGATATCCTTTGATTCACCTACTTCAATCAGATCTGCACCAATGGCAAAAGCAGCTACAAGATAGGAGGAGTTAGAAGGTTCCGTTGTGGGATTGATCAGAAGATTAGGGAGTAACTCACTTAGTGCTCTTATGCCAAGGAGTCGCTTCTAGTACATATCTCTTCCAAACCTTGATACGAAATAGCCCCCTCTTCTCTAACAAGTCTTTTTCGGGAGAACTGCATGCTCCACGAAGGGCGTAGACCGACCGATCAGTTGAATCAAAGTCATGCTTTCACCTTGCAGTCCCTGCGGTTCCACCACGGCATTCTGATTGGTAAGTTAAGTACGGTTCTGATCAGTGCAATGGGCGGGAAATACATTTGAATAACCCTTTTTTATTGATAGTGGCATTTATTGAGAAGAGTGGGTCTCGATCAGCTTAGAAATATAAAAAAGGCCTATTTCTGATGCCCACTTTCTGGTGACCTGAGCTTGCCTTGAGCCTTTACTTGCTTCTGAAGCAACCCCGCTGCTTGATCCGGCCGAGGAACATATAGTATAGTTCCACGATGCGCATTGACTTGTTTAGCTCTCTTTTGTAACAACTGGGAATTTGCTCACTTGCTTCTTGGAAAATAGACGTTTCTGTCTTCCACCGGCCCATTATAAAGTTGGGGGTGAGTGGTTTACTTCTTCCTAGTGAACTGACTAAACCTACTTAATGGCTAGCGGGATTCTGCATTCAATCGGAGTTGCCTTAGTTGGTTTCCGAAGGGAAGGCACTCAAGATTCTATATAGTAGTTTATGCCGCTTCAAGAAGCATTAGAATCCCTTATTTAACTTACAGGGCAATCAAGGAATAGAAGCTACCATCCTAGGGGGAGGATCTATTATCTCTCTACCCAGCTCCTCGTCTAGCAGCCAAGAACAAGAGAGCTACTTAACTCAGGTCAGATGAGAAAACCAACCGGGGAGAAGTAGCTCGACTGAAAGGAGAGGGGCTCAATAAGATAAGTTAATCGGAGTTCCCGGAAGGAGGTCCCACCATTTACTTGACTCTTAGAACGCTTTGGGCAACGGGGATCAACTTCCAGGACAGGAAAGGGCGATCCATCTATTTATTTGACCCTAGTTCACGAGAAGGAGTCCTAGGGATAGACCCGCACCGAGAAGAAATCAATAGAATCGTCTAAATAATTCAAATCAGAAATTTTTCTGCACGACTAGAACAGAGCAGATTTTTATTCTTCTTCATTCCAGCACTACAGTTTTTATACATAGGAGTACATCCAATAGAAAGCTTACACATGGACAACTTTCAGCCACACAACATTACAAAGTTAACTAACAACATATTAAGATTAAGTTAACAAAAGACATAGAACTTAATTAAACATAATAATGAACAGTGCTGGAAACTGAGCTAAGCACTTGTTAATTTCTTCCAGTCTCCCCAGTGGGTGGGTCACGGAGGATGGCAACCTCCACAAGGAGCCCCTCCCGTTCTTGGAGCAGCGCCCTCTTCCTGTTTTCGAGAGTGCGTATTTCGTTCTGGAGAAAAAGCATACGATCTCGTATGATAATTGGATCGATAGCAGGCAGATGTTCCCAGAACGCACCCAGCGTTTGCTCCCGTTGGAGCTTCTGGTTTTCCACCTGACGTATTTGTTGCTCAATTATCGCAAGTCTGCTAGCGATATCCATGGCTACTCAAAGCTCTTTCTTGCCGACTTCTAAGTTCCCTTTGCCAAAGAGAGACCGAAAGAAGCTTCTATTTATAGGCGTTGGAGGCCCTTAACCCTTTTTTTATTAGTAAGATAGGTTGTCTTGGTTCCGTAACATGGATCATTTCAAACCTGGCTTTTCATGAATATTGAACCCATCCACTAGATTTTAGTGCGCTCAATAATTCTCCCTTGAGTACGAAAGGCCCTCCCCAAAGAGCGAATAGTCCTTTTTTTTTCGCGGGTATCGCCACGCAACCCCGATCACCCCCTCAGGAATAGGAGGCAATAATAGAGCGCCCACGCGAAGCGTCAATTCTGTCAGAGAGTACCCCCGGGTTCCAAACCCCCTTTAAGAGATAGGGCAATCGTCACTCGCCAGCTCCGTCCTCGCTTAGGAAAAAGATGTTTGGCCTACCTCGCAGATGGATCTGATCAGACGCTTGCTTTTTCCCGCGTGCTTGTTTGAATGCTATTATTTCTACAACTATAGATTTGGAGCCAATCAGGTATCACCGCGTGTCAAACTGTGTCAGGCGGGAGACAGAAGAAATATTCAGCTGATTCCTTTCCAATGAGAACTAGACACGCGTCCCATATCCCGGGGGACCCTACGGAGAGCTTATCTTTATTTCTCCTTCAAGCACTTTCGTGGAAGAGACCATTTCTTAGATGGAGAGATGAACGCACAAACAAATAATAAAGACTATGACTGGTTCTCACGATCCTAAGTATAAGCCTAATGCCTTAACTCTTTAGCTCTAAAAAGGGGTTGCTTACCGGAACTTAGCTTACTCTGATCTACGAGCACCCTTCTCTCCCTGAGGGCCCATTAAAGCTTAAAGACCAGGACTTATAAGGTCCATGCCCCCTTAAACTCTATCATTGTCGGCGAATCGCGAAAAGGCTTTCGTTGCCTTCCCGTTTGTAAACCCTTGTTTGTAGAATCCTTCTGTCTCCCACGTAGGTGGACTCTAAGGTGGTTGAAGCAGCTACAGTTACTCTACGGACCGAGAGGTGTACTTCGTACCGCCTGTATTCTATGTGTATGGTAGTATTCGTACTATTTAGAACCATTTCTACTCATCGATTAGAATCTCAAGACGAAAAAAGGCTTTCTCCTCATCTCCGAAAACGGACTGAGAGCTCGTTTAAGCACGAAAAAAAATGGAGTTTACAACCCAATTGTGTACCCGCTCTTCACGCCGGATATCAGTACATATTTTGAGCTTCTGAAGCAACCTAAAAAGGAGAAGAATGGGGGGGGAGACAGAAACTTCTTCAAATAATTCCGTTTTCCCGGTAAAAATGGATGAAATCCTCAATTCCCTTTACGACGACCAAAAAAACCTTGAAAAAAGCTTGTTTTCCCGGGATTTTTTATAGGAATAGGGGTTCCAGTAAGTGTGGAGATCAAGAAAATGAACAAAGAATCCTTACGTAAAAAAAGTGGATTTTCCCGTGTTTTTTAATAGGTGCTGAAACCAAAAAACATCCAGAAGAAAGAAGAGAACCGCCCTCATGGTGGATTTGGATCCAGATCCTCTCCCGGCGTTTCCACCAACTAACTTCGATATTTGATATTTCTAGCAGTGGACTGAAGTACGTATTTCATAAGTAGGGCGGCCCTCCATCTGAAAAAACGTAGCCGTAAACGTAGATTTGAAGAAGTTATGTTGTCGAATACTATATTACACTAGCAATTTCAGGTGATGCATTGGGGTTTGGAATCGACTATTTTTCAATGGCCACCCTTTCTTTGAACCTTGTCAATGATCGAACTTAAAGATATGAACTGAGTGCCATTTGATGAGTAACTGAGAACAAGGGAGAGGGATATGGAAAGGATGAAGTAATGAAAGAGGAAGTCATTGCTAGTAGTAACGACTTGTCACGATCCATTGGTTCATATAGAATCCATGTCCTAGGCGTATCAAAAAAAATTCTTTTCGCTAAGCGTATATAATAAAATAGAGTGAAAGGGTCTACCCGGGGGTTCTAACTAACAGCTGAGTCCTCTCCGAACCGCAGGAGATAGTTGCCCATCATACGGCTCACTAACTTCACTTGCCTCTATGGGAGGCTCGCTCCGGGCGGGTTCGGATCACTTACAATGCACGGCTCTACGAAGGAAGGGGTTGGTGGGTTAGGAACGTTTTCAATATGATTCTTTTTCCGTATTTGTTCTATGACAAATGCGAGACGAAAAAGGAACCCGACTGGGAAATGCGAGTCTGTTTTGTCCACTTTCTCCATCCGGACAGCGAGCTTGCTTCTTATTCCCGTGTTCGATCTCTTCCATCTCTGCCCCGCTCGTTGTCACCTATGTTGAAGAAAGGGTTGGAACCCTGTAGAGAATGAAAAGGAGCCAAGGTTCTTCCTCTCAACAGTGCTTCTCGAGGCTCTACTCTCCCCCCTGAATAAGTAAGGCCCCGCTAGCCTGGGCGAAGATGGGGATAAGGAATAAGGATTGAAGCCCCCTTAGCTCTGCCAGGGACTGGGCAGGGGTTAGCTCTGTAAATGTGTAGAGCCAAGTGTAGTGTGGTATAGTAGTAGGCACTTCTAGGCCCCTTCCCGGCTACTGGATCACTCCAGCGCTTTGGGTACTACGGACCCTCTGCCATCCATTGCAGCAGAGCCGTTTCATGAGCGGGGGGGCTAAGCGCAGTTCTTTGAATCAAACGTTGAATGAAATCGATTCTTTTTTAGATATCAAAATCGAAATCAGATAGGATAGATGGATGGATCTATCTTTCTATTCATATATATTACTAAAACAAAAAATTTCTTTTTTTATATAGTTAAGTAGCGTAGCAAGAAGCCCCAAATCCTTGATTTGGCCAGGAAAGACTGCACTGCTTTGGGCCCAGGAAGCGAAGGGAATGAGCTCGGGCTGCTTCTCCTCCACACTTTTTTTTCTCCGTGCCCGTTCCGCATGCGCTTCGCGTGCCATTGGCGCTTCGCTCTCCTCTTTATTCTTCATTGGACGGTTCGGATGGACTTCGCCGTTCTTTACCAACTAAAATAGAAAAGGCTGTATCACATCGAGATGTCTATTCGTTTTCCGCCCCCAATGAGATGGAGAATTTGTAACCCCCCATTTATACTGTACCTTTTGGCCCTTCATCTTTCTGAATCGAGGCCCGGCCCGGCTCGCGTCGTTCCAACAACCGGCGGGGAGCACCTCAGTATACGATCGCGCACAGTAACTGGGAGTCCCTATTACACCTAAGGTCAACTTCAATTCACCAAACCAAGGTTCATCTCGTGTAGTGATTGTGGACTCATACAAGGATATTGAGTAGACGGCTGATGTATCAGACTCGACTCTATCTTTCGTAGCATGCATTCCCATCCGTGTCGCAACTGGATTCGATAAGCTACGTGTCCGGTGCACGGAGAACTGCCTTCGGTCCCCCAAACTGACTTACTCGTGGCAACCTTCCGGCCGCCCAACGACCTATAACGCTAGTCACTACTCCCACTGGGGCTAGGAAGTAAGCCCCACAACCCAAAGCGGCGAAGAACAAATAGAATTTGCTACAAAAGCCGGCTAACGGGGGTATTCCTGCGTATGAGAACATAGTAATAGAGAAGGTAATAGCCGAAATAGGATTCGTTTTGGCTAGAGCGCCCAAATCCGCTATATATTTGACACGGGTTTGCCGTAATGCTAAAACTATGGCGAATGCATCTATCGTCATTAATGCATAAATAAAGATACCAATTAGTAGTGATTGAATTCCTTCTATGGTTCCACATGATAAACCGGTACGAATATAACCTACATGTCCAATTGAACTATGAGCTAGAGGTCTTTTTACTTTCGTTTGGGCCATGGCGGCCAGTGCTCCTAAGATCATAGAAGCAATGCTGCAGAAAAAGAAGATTTGTTGCAATGTAGCTCCATAGGAACCATAAATAGAAACACGTGAAATATTTGCAGAAATAGAAATTTTAGGCGCAATAGAAAGGAATGCTGTAACCGGGGTGGGTGAACCCTCATAGATATCAGGTGCCCACATATATAGAGTCAAAAGAGATGTGGAGTCCGAAGGGGAGGGGGTTTTCTTCGGGGCTCGAGAGAGGGAATAAATAGATAGGAGGGCCCCGCAAGTTTTTAATTCGTTGCAGGGGAATTTACACGAAAGGGAACGAGGAATTCTCAACGAAAAAAGTGCTCTCTGAACCGAACGTGAAAGTAGTTTTCCATCAGACGGCTGTTCCCGTAACTCCACTCTCGACTTGGATTATATATCCAAAAAGGTCCGCTCTCGGCCATTCGACACGCTGCCTAGCAGAGGAGTGGTTATCTGAAGCGGATTCTCTCTTTTCTAGTAGATGCCGAACCTGCTGCCCCATTGACTAAGAAGGGGGCGGGCGCAGCAGCTACATGGACCCCTTCCTTTCTGTTGTTGCCAGCGCTTTCCCGGGCCGAGCCGGAATTTTTTTTTTAAGGGCAGGCAAAGCCCGAAGGCTGCTATCCCAATAGGCCAGCGGGCGGAACGAGGAGAGGGCCCGGCAATCATACTACCGCGGTCGAAAAAGCGTGTTCCCCTCAGATAATACGCACCATGGGCCATCCTCGGCCTTCTTCGTTTTCGATGAAAAACAAATAAAATCTCTATCTCCGAAAGCGTTTTCCTTCCCCCTCCCTTCGTCGAGCCTTTCCTTTAATGGTTGGGGAAAGCATTCCCTTATCTGAACTTGGCGGGCATTCCGCCTTAGTAAAAAAAAAAATATAAAAAATAGGGCGGTTTGAACATAGGCTCAAACATGATTTGAAGGTCCTAGCTACGCCATGCGTTCAATACAAAATCTGGAAAGCTGCAGGTTTGACAAAACAAAAAGAGGGCGCTTTCCTGTGTTGCACTGAAAAAAAGGACCTAAGAGAAGAGCGACCTCTCTTAGGTT